TACATCATAATAGTTCATTAGGACACAACCCATGAAACACAAACGGAGTATAAATAAAATATTTCTAACACTGTCTGTGCCTCAGTGCGTACGGTAGTTCTGCCATTGCAGTGCATCGTGGGCCCAAATACGTTTTTGAGTTTTCATATTCTTTTGACTCTCTGTCAGCTTATAGTGGAGATGTTAGGTATAATAAAGTTGTTGATCTTGTTCTCATTTCCCTGTCACTTGTAGAAAATGGCTCTTCAAACTTGAATAAGGTGCAGTTTTCAATCAGAACAATCAAACTGCACGATAAAGGAGCCACAGGTTCATGAGTGTTCTTTTTTTCTACAAGAAGTGTAGTGCGGGTCCAGGGCTAGTTTGACCGGCATGGAGCCCACAAAGTTCCAGAGTTTATCAGACTTTGGAGAAGATCAACTTTGGAACTGGCAAATGCTTTGTTGACGCTAAAAGCAACAGTAGTAGTGAAAAAAGCAGCTCTGCAGTCGCCTATATGTTTTTTTTTTATATTTCTGCATGACGAAGAAAGAGTTATACTCTAACACTATAATATTAATCATATTTTTGTCCTACTGTGTTCTTTATTGATTCGGTTTCATCAATACATGAAATTACTTAGACTAGCAATGTTACCGTCACCAAGAAGGTTCTTGTTTAGAATACCGCCCCTGAGTTGTTCTGCTTGATCTTCTCGTGCAAGTGGCGGTCCTCTCTAAATACTCCAGTTTGGTTGACTGGTCTCTCCAAATTGTCCTTGACTTTTAGCACTTGCGATAGGCACCAGCCACACAGCAGGAATAACCTGGTTATCCAATGATAGAGTGATGGAAAGCTGTGTCAATTGACTTTCTTACTTAGGGTTTAAATCATGACGATTTAGAGAAAAATGTTTTGTTTTGTTTTTTTGTTGCAGGGCTGTGCGCTCTCTATTCATGTTCTTCACAAGTTTATTACCTTGTGAATACAAACAAGACCTGGGCTGAAGCCCAGATGTACTGCAGAGAAATGTACACAGACCTGGCCACCATCAATAGCACTGAAGACATGGCCCTGGTGAATAATCTCCTCAACAACGGAGCAGAGGAGTTCTGGATAGGTTTGCACAGCAGTTCCAATGAATGGTTATGGTCTCTGGAAAAGGAAGGATTTTATGGAGACGGACAGGCTGACTTTAGATTGTGGGATGAGGAACCAGAAAGTCCTTATGAACACTTTCACTGCGCTGACATATCTACATCTGGATGGACACAGTTTTATTGCTATGAAAAGGAACACTTTGTCTGTTACAATGGTAAGAGAGCAAAAACAGCACTACTTCAATGTGTTTTTTCCACTCTCTCTGCAAATGACCATCTTTTTTAAAAATTAAAAAATTTAAATGAAACAAATTTATATATATATA